AGTGGTATATCAATACTGCTATACCAGCAACTTGTTCAGGATATATAAACAGATATAAAGTCAAGTTTTATGATGACGACTTGGAAGGAAGGTATGGCATTACTCTAGCTATATGGAAGCCAATTAATTCAACAACATATGAAATTGTGAGAACAAATCTCAATTGTAATACATAGATCAAAATGTATTTTTTTAGGATTCATCTACAATACAGTCATACTCACGTCAGTTTAGTGATAGTGAGTATCATCCTATGCTTATAGATATTGCAATGTATAATGTGTTTACTTGTAGAAAGGCGTAGGAAAAGAGACACAACAGATCGAATAATTTCATTTAGTCCATCAGTTGGTGTACGTAATGGAAGTGTTATAGGAGTATATCTGCATAATACTAATCCACTACCGCTACCAGTCATTGGAAAGAGATCAAGTGGCAATCCTATTAGTGGTAATCCTATTGGTGCTTGTGTTACAACAACATCATCTAGTACTACAATACTTACTTGTACTGGAAGCAACCAAGTGTCTACTTATGTGATACATGCTGAAGCTGATATTAGTAGGTCAAAAGCAATGTGACAGACTTTAATAACATTTTATTATTTTAGCTATAGTTGATTGTGGTGCTCCACCATCAGTTCTTAATGCAGCATACTCTCAATTGGATGGTGATACACAGTATGGAGCTAGAGCTCAATACAACTGTAGTACTGGATATAATATTAATGGAAATGATATTATATCATGTCTACTGAATGCATCATGGTCTTTACCAGCTCCATCTTGTTCATTAGTAGACTGTGGTAATCCTGGTGAACCAGCTAATGGATATACTAATGATAATGTATTCACTTATCAGTCTACAGTACAGTATCATTGTAATGAAGGATATCAACTATCAGGTGACTCTTCTATTGAATGTACAGCTAATGGTAATTGGAACAATACACTACCAAGCTGTGCAATAATTAATTGTACTGATCCTGGTACACCCACCAATGGAACTAGAAATGGAATGCATTTGTATTACAATTCAACAGTTTCTTACAGTTGCAATACTGGATACAATTTAACAGGAGCTGCCTCTATTACTTGTAATGCTACTGGCCTGTGGAGTGTACCAGTACCTTCCTGCCCTCCAGTTAATTGTGGTGATCCTGGTACACCTAATAATGGAAGCAAGAGCAGTAGTGTATATACTTATAACTCAGTTATCTATTTCCAGTGTAATTCTGGATACTTCTTATCTGGAGCAGTCTCTCTCATTTGTCTTTCTAATGGTTCATGGAATGGATCATTTCCTTCATGTTTAGCTGGTTGTGGTGATCCTGGAGTACCTGAGAATGGACAACGCCAGGGTGAAACTTTTTCTATTGATTCTGCAGTTTCGTTTACTTGTGATACTGGCTATACATTAACTGGCTCAAATTCTCTCTTTTGCTTAGCTGGAGGCTCATGGAATGATACAGCACCTACCTGTAATCCAGTTAATTGTGGTGATCCTGGTACACCTACCAATGGAACTAGAAATGGAACAGTTTTTACTTTCAATTCTACAGTATTGTACTCATGTGATACTGGGTATACTATAACAGGAACCTCCTCTCTCACTTGTCTATCCAATGGTTTATGGGATGCATCAGTTCCTTCATGTGATATTGTTAATTGTAGTAATCCAGGTGAACCTACTAATGGGATGCTGCAAGGAGAAACTTTTACATACAATTCAGTAGTAACTTACAATTGTTCTGTTGGGTATAGTTTAACTGGAGCCACCTCACTTACTTGTTTAGCTAATGGTTCATGGAGTGCATCAGTGCCTACCTGTCCTCCAGTTAATTGTGGTGATCCTGGTACACCTATTAATGGCAGCAAGAGCAGCAGTGTTTATACTTATAGCTCAATAGTATCTTATCAGTGTATTAGTGGATACTCCATATCAGGAGCTGATACTCTGTCATGCTTATATAATGGTTCATGGAATGGTTCAGTTCCTTATTGCTATCCTGACTGTATTGATCCTGGTGATCTCTCTAATGGACAAAGAACTGGTGATACTTTTAACTACAATTCAGTTTTATCATACACTTGTAACACTGGGTACAATCTAACAGGAGAAAGCTCAATTACTTGCCTATCTAATGGTACATGGAGTAATATG